ATGGCATTGAAGACTAAAAATGGAACTCGCCTAAGAGGCAGATTGCGATTGTTGCACTGCACATGCAGAAGTGCTGACAATGAGAAGCACTCGAGATGGACAACAGCTTTCAAGTTGTAACCATTGACTGTCGCCGACATGCAGAAGTGCTGACAATGAGAGCTGTTGCTGAGAACTCATGCACATGACTTGATTGGTTCTACGGCACCCAACTGTAAGTACTGTGTCTTGAGCCGCTCCTGTCCAGCTCACCTACTTTTTTTTAGGTGCCTGAAAAAAAAGAGCCTCTTCAGCTCGCCTAGCGTCTGAAAGACCGATGACGGACTGCGAGAGCCTTCTGAGGCGACTCAAAGGTCAACTTGCAAGAGCCTTTTGAGGCGACTCAAAGGTGAACTTGCAAGAGCATTTTGAGGCGACTCAAAGGTCAACATGCGAGAGCGCGTCCGAATGCTATCTCTAATCTCTAATCTGATGTACCAAAAAAATAAGAAAAGTAACGCCCACCTGCAGGTACTGCGTCTTGAGCCTCGGCATCTCGCCTAGCATCTGAAGATCGATGATGGCCTCGGAGCTCTTGCATATGCTTTCTCTAATCTCTAATCTTCTGTGCAACAAAGCGAAACAAAGCACCCACCTGTAAGTACTGCGTCTTGAGCCGCTCCAGCTCACCCAGCATCTGAAGATCGATGATGGCCTGCGAGATGTCCACTCCCAGCTGGGAGCCCTCGGGGAAGGCCTGCGAGGAGGGGAAGAAGATGGGAAGAGGCAGTGGGAGTGGGGACATGAGGGGAGGGACGAAGATCAATGATGGCCTGAGAGATGTCTACTCCCAGCTGGGAAGCCCGTGGGGAATGCCTGAGAAGCAAGGCGCAGGGGAACGGGCAGGCGAGGAGGAGAGAGGAGGGGAGGCGGCCGAGATGGGGTGAGGAAATGGAATAGAGGCAGGGATGGCCTGGCATGAGAGATGTTCACGCCCAGCTGAGAGGCCTTGGGGAATGCCTGAAGTTCAATGGTGAGAGGAAACGAGGGGAGAACGAGACCTGAAAAACAAGAACGCATCTCAGCTAGCATACACGCACGCCGTAGCACACCCATGCACTTGCTGCATCTAGCACTCACAAAAACGAGGTTGAGAACAGAGAAGGGCTGTGGCGCACAATGCAGACACGTCGCAGAATACAGCAGCGAAGGGCTGAGGGCCACGTCGCAGAATGCAGCAGCGAAGGGCTGAAGGCTGAAGGGCTGAGGGCTGAAGGGCTGAGGGCCAAGTCGCAGAATGCAGCAGCAGCAGCGAAGAGGTTGAGATCAAGACGAGTGCTTTCCCGGTGCTTTTGAGTGCAGTGCAGTTGCACGCCCGCGCACATTCATACATGTCGCACTCACAAAGGCCCGGTGCAGTTGCACGCCCGCCCACACACTTTCATACATATCTTACATAATCAACAGCCACATGGCGAACTCTGAACTCACAAAGGCGAGGTTGAGAACGGAGAAGGGCTGAGGCGCTTGAGCCACATCGCAGAAGGCAGCAGCGAGGAGGTTGAGGTAGGGGTCCTCGTCGACTATCACTGTGACTCGGCCCGATGAGAGAGAGGAGGAGAACTCACTCTCCCCAGCCAGGGATATCAGCTTGTCCTAGTGTGGGGGGACGACAGTGGGGGGGAGGGGAGAGAGAATGCAGCGGTGAGGAGGTTGAGGAGGGGACCTCGTCCACGATCACTGTCACGCGGCCGGAGGAAAGCGATGAGGAGAACTGGCTCTCTGCAGCCAGCGTTGTCAGCTTGTCCTGAAGGGGTTCCGTGTGCGGAGAGGTGGGGGGAGTGGGGAGAAGGAGGAGGAGAACTTCTTGTCCCCAGCCAGAGATATCAGCTTGTCCTAAAGGGGGTGGAGGGGGAGGAGGGGGGATATGAAGCAACGAAAGGGGTAAGGTAGGGGTGTTCGTCCATTATCACTGTCATGTGGCTGGAGGAGAGGGGGGAGGAGAGGGGGGAGGAGTGGGGGGAGGAGAGGGGGGAGGAGAGGGGGGAGGAGAGGGGGGAGGAGAGGGGGGAGGAGAGGGGGGAGGAGAGGGGGGAGGAGAGGGGGAGGAGAGGGGGGAGGAGAGGGGGGAGGAGAGGGGGGAGGAGAGGGTGGAGGAGAGGAGGGAGGAGAGGGGAGGAGATGGGGGAGGAAAGGGGGGAGGAGAACTCGGTATCTCCTGTAAGGAATATCAGCTTGCCCTGGTGTGTGTGTGGGGTAGACTAGACATGATCAAAACGCGATTGCGATTTAAATCGCATCGCACATGGGTGTGATTTAAAAAAATGCGATGCGATTTAAAATTGCATCGCGCGATTTAATTTCGTGAAAATTTTATATCGCACATCGTATTTTGGGCGCGATGTTTATTTAAATCGCATCGCATTCTACTTAAACAAAAAAAAAAAACTTAGAAAACCGGACAAAAATAAATAAATCGCAAAAAATAGTTGATAGAAAACTAGACAAGTGCAGGACAGGTGATTAATTGGGTTTAGGACAGGTGAGAGCCCCCGTGGTATTTCGAAATCGCATGAGATTTAAACAAAATCGCAAATCGCATTTTAATCGCGATTTTCAGTGTGATTAAAATGCGATTTAAATGAAATCGCGCGATAATAAAACATCGCATCGCGCGCTGAATTAAAAAAAAAAAAAAAAAAAAAAAAAAAAACACACACACACACACATACACCCACATCGAGATTCGCAATCGCAAAAACGCGATTAAATGCGATGCGATGCGATTTAATCTGCCCATGTCTAGTGTGGGGGGGAGTCCAAGAAAGGAAGACTGGTGGGGAGAGAATGCAGCAGCGAGGAGGTTGAGGGGAGACATGGGTATGAGCCGAGCCTGGCTTGCCTCGCCTCGAGCCGGGTACTCAAGATGCCCGGCTCGGCTCGAGAAAATGGGGTCGAGCCGAGGCCGGCTCGCCGGCGAGCCAGCTCGGCTCGGCTCGTCAGGGATTGGGCCCACGGGGTTTGGGGTCTCTACTCTGGCCTGGGGGACGGTCCAGATTGTTTAGCTAATCGTCTGCTTCTATGTTTGGGCGCCTGTACAAGTTAAGGTGATCGCGCACCCTAATGTAGCCCTACCGAGCGCTCTCCAGCCGTCTGCAGCACGGGACTAGGCCTACACGGACGTGCGCCCAAGTCTAAACCCTAGTGCGCGCATAGCGCACGCCAAGGCCTCGGTGGGCACGCGCGATTAGGGCTGTCGTGGCGCGTGCTCTAATTAATACAGCTCTTACATCTTGCAAAACTATCAGGAGGTGCTGCGGGTTTAAGAGGGCTGGCTGAGGGCGATAAACTAGGGTGGCAGGGTGAGGTTAGGGTTGGCATACGAAATGGGCATGGGGGGGGGAGTTGTTGATCTGAAATTTGACAGTCGCAAACCCCCCCTTTCCTGAGCCGCGAGCCTTCTGGCTCGAAATCGAGCAAGCTCAAGCCGGCTCGACTCCGGCTCGCCTCATTCTGTGTGCTCGAGCCGAGCCAAGACGCCGGCTCGAGAAGAGCCGGGTACCAGAAAAAAGAGGCTCGGCTCGCCTAACCAGGTTTGGCTTGGATAGTGCCCATGTCTAGTTAGGCTTGAGCAACGGGTCGGGTCGACATTTGCGGAGGGTCGACCCGACCCGACCCGACCCGACCCGACGGACAAAACCTCACCCGTCTGGTCGGCTTATTACCCGTCCCTGCCCCTATGCCAACCCGACCCAAAATCAGGTCAGGAAGTACCCGACCTATTAAACCCGGGTCGGATTGACATTTCCCGAGCTTCGACTGGACTTGACCCGACCCGACCCGACCCGAACCCGGCATCGGGTCGGGTCGGGTCGGGTTCATGCTCAAGCCTACCCTGTGTGTGTTCACAGTCTAGTTGAGGGAGGCGTCCTTGTCGACTATCACTGTGACACGGCCCGATGAGAGGGAGGAATGGGAGGGGGTAGGAGGGGGGCCCAGCCGTGGTGCAGCAGCGAGGAGGTTGAGGTAGGAGTCCTCGTTCACTGTCACTGTCATGTGGCCGAGGAGAGAAGGGAGCAACACCCAGCTAGAGCAGGTAGGGTGGAGACAAACAAGGCAACTGAATCAACACTCACAAGAGCAACACCCAGCTGTATCAGATAGGCGTGCACAAAGGAGCCCTGCTGGTAGCCGATGGGTGAATTGCTGGTGAGCGCTGAATAGATGTCCTGTTGTAGGTTGAGGAGAGATGAAGGCGAACGTGGGATGTGCTTATAGGGGAGAAAATGTTTGTATTGTGCTTGCTAAGCGAAGAACATCTTACAATGCATATGCCTATAGGGAAAGAACAAATTAATAAAACGCACATGCTTATAAAAAGGAAGCATAAAAGATCCGCAGAACCATCTTTTGCAAATGTGAGCACAGAGGTTAGTTGGCAGAGTAGGATGTGGCTAAAACGAAGGAGAGCAGCAGCCACAGTGACACATGCTTATAGGGAGGGAGGCAGCTTACAAGGATTTGCGGGATGAGCTTCTGCTGTGTGAGGATGGAGGTGAGGCTGGCAGTGTAGGATGTGGTTATAATGAAGGAGAGAAGCAGCCAGAGCGACACCACTATCCGTGCGAGCGTTGATCGGATGTGGTACACTGGAGGGAAAGGAGAGAAAGGAGAGATAGGAGAGAGAGGAGAGCAAGGACAGGGAGGAGAGGGAAGAGAGAGAAAAGAGGGAGGAGAGAAAGGAGGTAGGAGCAAAGCACATGCAGATTGTCATGCATGGCATGTGGACGTGGTTGGGAGGTAATGGGAAACACTGGAGTGAGGAGTGAGTCGAAGCAGACACAGATTGTAGAGAAAAAGGAGGGCACAGATTGCAGTGAAGGAGGACACCAGAGGAAGCAATCACTGCAGTTCCTTGTGACATGCGTGCGTGGAGGGGAGGAAAGAAGCAAGTTGGGAGGAGGAGAGAATAGCAGAGAGAGGAAGGAAGAGAGAAGGGGAGGAGAGGGCGAGAGAGGTCGCACCAGGAATGTTGTAGAATGTGACCCAGCCATACCTGCAAGGCGAGAGCCATGGATAGAAAGGAAAGGGACGACAAAGTGAGTGTGTGTGAGTTCGCGTGTGAGTCAGTGTGTGTGAGTCAGTATGTGTGCGTCAGTGATCGAGAGTCTGTGTGTGTGTGTGTGTGTGTGTGCGTGTGTGTGTGTATGTGTGTGTGTGTGTGTGTGTGTGTGTGTGTGTGTGTGTGTGTGTGTGTGCGTAAGTCAGTGTGTGTGAGAGAGTGAGTCCGCGCATGTGACTCGGCGCTTATGAGCCAGTATTGAGCGCACAGGGCTGCAGTGGAGGGCCAGGGTGCCAGAGTGTGCGCACAGGGCTGCAGTGGGCATGTTCAAACGCCAACCTACTCACCACCACACCACACGGCTGTGAGTATTCGTGTATGTAGCTTTTTGAGTCGACTCAAAATGAAAGTAGCTTTTCTTGGAACGCAGATGTCACGTGCCCGGCCAGCAGCACGGCCAACAAGATGGCACACACAGGGCTGCAGTGACTCCAAAGCAGCCCACTCACCACACGGCTGTCAGCATCCGCGTGTGCAGCTTGCCCTGGAATGTGGGTGTCACGTGCCCATCTAGCAGCAGTGCAACAAGGCCTGTGAGCACACACAGGGCTGCAGTGAGCAGGCTCAAATGTCAGCCCACTCACAAAACGGCTGTCAGCATAGCACCCGCGTGTGCAGCTTGCCCTGGAATGCCGATGTCACGTGCCCGTCTAGAAGCACTGCAACAAGGCCTGTGAACACACACAGGGCTGCAGTGACAGCCCACATGGCAGGTGTGAAGGGGTCAAAGGCCAGCCAGGGGTTGGTGTAGGGGCGCGAGTAGCCGATCACGCCCAGCCCTGATTGCTGCAGGTGTCACCGACAGGAGGAAGGAAAGCAGGGGGTGGGGCAGAAAGGGATGGCATTTATGAGTGGACTTGGAAGGCCAGCCAGGGGTTGGTGTAGGGGCGCGTGCCCATCACGCCCAGCCCTGATTGCTGGAAGGAGAACAGACGGGAGAAAGGAAGGTGGGCGAGAAGGGGGGGGGGAGGGGGAGGGGTGGATGGGGAGGCATATGAGTCGAATCAAAGGCCAGCCAGGGGTTGGTGTAGGGGCGTGAATAGCCGATAACTCCCAGCCCTGATTGCTGCAGATGGCACAGCCAGGAGGAAGGGCAGGAGGGGGTGTGGAGCGGGGAAAGGGGTGGGTGGATGGCATAAGAGTGAACAACCCCAGCCCTGATTGCTGCGAGTGGCAAAGGATAGACGACAGCGAGAAAGGGATGCGGGTTGAGATTGGTGAGCCGCTAGTGGAGACATGCCTTGTGGGTAATTTAGATTTGAGGCGCCTCAAAACTCGACATGTATCACGCGGATTGGTGAGCCGCTCGCTTGTGGAAACATGGGACATGTGTAACCATGCGCCTGCCTTCCTCTGGGCAGTCACTTCCCGACTCAATTGGCCGACCCACACACACCCACCTCCATTGCCCCGCACGCACTTGAATGGGGTGGGTGAAGTAGACGACTTTGCTCCTGGAGTCAAGCACTGTGATGTCCCCCACTGCCGCATCGTATGTCTGCCGGGGCACATACAACACAAGTGCAGAGAAAGGGCAATGCAAGGGGAAATAGAGGAGGGACTCATATTCGCATGCAGCAACGATCTTTCTCCTGGAGTCCAGCACTGTTATGTCCCCCACTGCCGCGTCGTGTGTCTGCCGCACGGGTACAGATACCGGGCAACACAACACAGAGCAAGGGCAATGCAGGGTGATAGAGGAGGGAGGGACTCGCATGTTAGAAAAGGCTCGTATTTCACCTTGTATGGCGACTTACTTTGAATTTTGATTGAGGCTTGTCCTTAAAGGGTGATAAGAGAAGACGCTGCACCTTGTTGGCAACAGCCAACACTATCTGTGTGTAGCTGAGGGGCTCATTGCCATAAAGCACAAAATCATGGGACGACTTTTACAGGTGGGTCTAAAGGAAGGTTCAAAGGCATGATGTGAGGAAGAGCCGCACCTTGTTGGCCACAGCCAGCACCATCTGCGTGTAGCTGAGGGACTCATCGCCATACAGCACTAACTCGTTAGTCCAACTCCAAGGCTTGGATCGAGGCCTGATAAGAGATCACGTCTCACCTTGTTGGCCACAGCCAGCACCACCTGCGTGTAGCTGAGGGACTCATCCCCGTACAGCACAAACTCGTTAGTCCGACCAACTCGGAGGGTAACCCACTTTGGGGCATGATATGGCGTGACAAGTTTGAGGAGACATAAGTGAAACAGTCTCACTCACCTTATTGGCCACAGCTAGCAACATCTGCGTATAGCTGAGGGACTCGTCCCCGTACAGCACAAACTCGTAGTCCAGCTTGTAGGGAAGTGCTCCACGCAGCAGCCTGAGAAGCGAGAGTTGCCCTCCCCGAAAGCATCCGACATGTTCACATACTCCTTGTATTGCTGGCAGGGGAGGGGGGGAGAGAGTGGAGGGGGAGGGGGGGAAAAGGTGGGGACTGTTGAGTCGAATGTAAAGTCACCTTCACATAAGAAGGGTGCGTTGCCCTTCCTGAAAGCATCGGACACGTTCACATACTCCTTGTATTGCTGGCAGGGGAAGGGGGGAGAGAGTGGGGGGTGGGGGGGAAGAGGGTTGGAGGGGAGAGGGGAATAACTCAAGGTTGGAGGGGAGAGGGGAGAGGGGAAGAACTTTATGAGTCAACCAGAAGCCACAGTAGCCTGAGAGGCGGCCCTTGCTTTCCGTTTAAGCATCGGACACATTCACATACTCCTTGTATTGCTGGCAGGGGAGGGGGGAAGAGCGGAGGGGGGGGGGGGGGGATGGGCTAATGAATATGAAGACACCTCCAAACGCTCTATCACATGCATTGACGTACTTGGAAGGCTGAGCTTATAATTTTAAAAGCAGAAACGACCACAATACATGATGGGCTCACGGGTTCACCAGCAGCACCAACCCTGTGAGGAGCTACATAGGAAAAAGTGGCTCACCTTAACGAAATGCACCTTTGTATAAGCATCTGCTGGTAAGGCATCTGCTGATAAGGCACCTGGTGCAGCTTATTATTGGGAACCACAATATAGTCACCTCACCTGCTTATTGGGCACTGCAATCCGAACCCGCGTCTTGGGAAATGATCCTGTTGGGACCTGCGGAAACAGCGAGATAGACGAAGAGGAGACGACACAGCGAGCAGGGGCAGGGGCAGGGGCAGGAGTGGGAGAATCTGCAAATGGCTTGAAACAGCCAAAGTTTTGTTTGTGCCTTACAACATCCCCTAGAAAGCAACCAAGAGGAGAGACGGTGGCAGTGAGGGAGGAAACAAAGGTACCCGTACTATGAGCTTGGAATCCTTTATCTATCACCCCACCCACCAGTGCGAGCCGCTTCTCTATGACACCGTATTTGTGTGAGCCTCTATGAACACTGACACCCCAAACATGTCTTAGCCTCAATGAACCCTGAAACCCCAAACCCTATGTCAGCCTCTATAAACCAGGAAACCCCGAACCCTGTGTCAGCCTCTATGAACCCTGAAACCCCCAAACCCTCTGTCAACCTCTATGAACCCTGAAATCCCAAACCCTGTGTCTGCCTCTATGAGCCCTGAAACCCCAAACCCTGTGTCAGCCTCTATGAACCCTGAAACCCCAAACCCCGTGTCAGCCTCTATGAACCCTGAAATCCCAAACCATGTGTCAGCCTCTATGAACCCGGAAACCCCAAACCCTGTGTCAGCCTCAATGAAACCTGAAACCCCAAACCTTGTGTCAGCCTCTATGAACCTTGAAACCCCAAACCCTGTGCCAGCCTTAATGAACCCTGAACACCTCACCCAAACCCACCCTGTGTCAGCCTCTATGAACCCGGAAACCCCAAACCCTGTGTCAGCCTCAATGAAACCTGAAACCCCAAACCTTGTGTCAGCCTCTATGAACCTTGAAACCCCAAACCCTGTGCCAGCCTTAATGAACCCTGAAACACAAAACCCTGTGTCAGCCTCTGTGAAACCGGAAACCCCAAACCCTGTGTCAGCCTCTATGAACCCTGAAACCCCAAACCCTGTGTCAGCCTCTATGAACCCGGAAACCCCAAACCCTGTGTCAGCCTCTATGAACCCTGAAACCCCAAACCTGTGTCAGCCTCTATGAACCCTGAAACCCCAAACCCTGTGTCAGGCTGAGAGGGCTCCATAGGACAGGCGGACGAAGGGGAGGAGGAACGTGAGGGGCATGCCGCGGAGCCCTTCCAAGACGGCTGCGCATTCCACCGCGTTGAAGGCGTTCGACAGGTCCACCTGGATGGCTAGGTGGCGCGGGTGGGACTTTAGGGGGGTCCTTGCCAGGTGGATGACGGCTTCGCTACCACCTGGGACCGCCACGCCGAACTATAGGGGCGTGAAGTGCAAGCGCGCTGCGTTGGCAGCGAGGAGGAGGGCGGCTTTCCCGAAGGCGCGGTGGAGACATTCCCCCACCGCGATGGGGCGCGTTCCCCCGCCTGGCTTGGTGAAGGCTAGGAGGCGCGAGGAGGTTAGGAGCTCGGCGGCTTCAGGGTAGAGGCTATCGGCTAGTGCTTGGTTGCACAAGGTTCTGAGGTGTGCGCAGATGTCTGAGTTGGCTAGTGCTGCAGATCGAAGGTGTTCGAAGATGGTACCTGAGGGCACAGCTCCAACTCCGTTTGGGAGTTTGGCAAGGAGCTTGCGGAAGCTCTTCAGAGAGATGGTAGTGGGTTCCTCTAGATTGAAGGTGGTAAGCCAGGCTGGCAGTGGGGGTCAGCTGGGGGGTGTTTCGAGTGCAGTGCCCCAAGTGTGTCGGCATTAGTGGGGCTGACTGGGGTAGCCTCCAGGGCCTGAACTGCCTTCCGCAGGTTCCCTCGCTTAGCGAGGTACTCGGCCCTGGCTACTGTCCCAGTGCTATGAGGGTTGTGGCGGGGTGGTGGTGGCAGAGAGGTGGCAGCAGCAGCTGCGGTGTAGTTTCCCCCCCACAGCCCCCTCTGGAACTTATCTATGCGGCCTGCGATAGTTTTCCAGTTGGGCCGCCTGGTGGAGCTGACACGTAGCAGCAGACGGGGCAGAAATATCAGGAGCCGCCACGCTGGCCCTGAATCTGGCTTCTTGGCCAGTCGCATGAGGGGAGTCAGGAGGCAGGTGGCAAAGCCCTCACAAATTGGCGGGGGAGGTGGCGGGCCAGCGGTGGCTGAAGACTGTCGCGAAGTGGCCCCAAGTCCCAATTCGCAAGGTCGTCAAAAAGTTCATCGCGCCTGGCGACTACCAGGTGCGAGAGACATTCTGGGCGCGGCGCGGGGGGGTTGGAATTCGCAGTCTGGTGTTGGTTGGATGCGGTTCGATTTGTGTTGGTTGCGCCTCGCTGTTTGGCACCAAACCCCACCTCATCTGATTCCTCCTCATCCCCCAAACTTCCCTCCGTGTCCTCTCCCCCAGACGCACTATAGTTTGACCCCAAGTCCTCCTCATGCCTTGTGCCTCTCCCAGCTTCCTCCCCAGGCGCAGCGCCATCTGATTCCGCGCCACCCACGCCTCTGGCTAGTTGACGCCGCACCACGCGAACAAAGGTACCGCTCCGCGGCGCCCCCAGTAGTGCTCTTCCCCGATTTGTCGTATCCGCCGGAGCCCGGCTTCCCCCGCGTCGTCCCCCCCGTTGTCCGCACCCCCTGGACGTGCCTCCGCGCGCTGTCCACGTATCGTGTCGCGGGCCCGCCACCGGCGACAGCCAGCGGTCCAGCGCCACTTGGCGCCACCCTGATGGCCTCGCGTGCGCAGGGTCACGAGCGGTCCCGTCGCGACCTCATGGGCAGGCGCGATCTCCTCCTGTGCGTGCTCACCATCCGTCCCCCTCCCCCGCTCACTGGCCGGACCTCCGTCGGGGGTCCCGCCGTCGCACTCCGCCCCCGGAGTATTCACCGCCGCATCGGCAGCTGGGAGCGGTGGGACGGTCGAATGTTGAGCGGAGCGGGCGCCCTGGTCGGGGTTCGCGAGGGCGTCGCCCGGGCTGCCCGAACCAGCTAGCTGAGGTGGCGGCGGCGGCGGGGAGCGGGCGATGACGGCTGTGCCCGCGGTGATGCAGGCGATTGGTCGAGCAGAGGCGCCGGTTGTGTCGCATGCAGGCCAGTCGCCACCGCCGCTGAACCTGTCCGCTGCTCCTCCTCCCCCTCTCTCCCTGCCGCACGTCCCACCTCCCCTTCCTCCCCCTCCCCCTCCTCCTCCGCCGTCTCCCCCGCGCCTGATTCGGGTCGAACCCCCGTGGTATCCGGATCCCGCAGAGGGCCCCCCGCTATATCTGCCGCATCTGCAGGTCCCGGGCCCGCAGCCACCACCGCTGCAGCAGCCGCAGCGGCAGGTGCGGGAGGCGCCAGCGGTGGTGAGCTTTCCTCCACAGCCCCTGGCACCGCTGCACGCAGGGGCGGCGGAGAGCCAGGGGGGGTGATGCCGCAGGTGGCGTCCAGGCGCCGTTGCTCGGGCGGGTTTGTTGTGCCGAGCCCCCCGGTAGTGGACCGTTGTCGCCGTCCCGGCTGGTATGAGGAGATGGAGCCCCCGGGGACAGGTACCAGGGAGACCCTGGAGCGCCTGTCCCGCCTATAGAGGATTGTGGTGATGGCGATGAGGGTGGTGCAGCTGGGTTGGGAGGAGCTGGACAAGCAGCTGGTGGCAGCGCGGCTGGGCGCCCAGCGCACTCAGGAGTGCCGGCGCGTGGCTGGCCAGCTGATAGCGGCGGTGGAGAAGGAGTGTCAACCGCCCGCAAGGGAGGAGACCAGCTCCCCTCCCCTTGAGGCATTGTGTCGGCACCTGTACACGCGGACAGCTGCAGACGCCATCCGGGCCGCCGTGTCGCTTCTTCAGGCGGTGGGCGAGCGCGTGACGCAGACGTTAGCGGGGTCAGGTGGGCCGGGTCCCGTCTGACGTGGCGGCGGCGATAGAGCAGCAGCCCCTCCGCGGGCGGCTGCCCCTGTTCAGGGAGCTGAAAGGCCGGCGCGAGGGTCACCGCTGACCTGAAGCCGCGGGTGACCTGGCGGGTA